TAAGAATGATTCAAAAGTTGGGGGGGGCTCAACATTAAAAAGCATGACTTAGCATGTGAACATTGGGGGCCCGGGCTAAGCCCCTCTTGCTAAAAAGTTGGGGGGGGGCTGTAGCCCCCCCAGCCCCCCCCCCATTCCTACGCCTATGTGTATCTATGGGTAATTAAAGCACTGTTGAGAGTAGGTGACGGGAAATTATTGCACGAGGGGCAGTTGAGAGGAAAATGTAGCACGAGGCGAAGCCAAGTGCTACATTTTTATCGAGAATTTCCATAACCTACGAATCAACAGTGCTTTGATTGGTTTGTAGTGGTACGTGGGCGGATCAAATGAAATTTCAAAAGTCGTGCAGGTGGCCAGTGCAAGACGATCAGATCTCATTTATCACTATTATTATTGTTACATGTCTAGTGTATGTAGCTAAGGCTGTTATTTTCCTCTATCAAAGCTTGTGGTTAACAGGAAAGCCCATACATATTATACTGTGCAGTACTATGATATTCCAAACAGTAGGGGTGGGCGATATATCGAAATTAACGATATTTTATCGATATAATGCGGTATCGATACGTATCGATATCGAAAAAAATTGAAAAGAAAAATCGATACCGTGACCACGCCCACAAAATGATTGTATAACCTTAATAATAGTTAATTAACCACAGTTGCTAAGTAATGAAGTAACTCCAAACCGCTCCAAACACTTCTTTTTTGCAAAACAGAGGAGGTAACAGATGAAGACTAAGTCAAAACAGGTTAAATGAGAGTAATAATGGCTTTTCTAAATCATAGTTTTTCCTGGAAATGGTACTTGAAACTTATTGGGCGTGGTCATAAAAATATCGAAATCTAGTATCGATATCAAACGATATTCATGAAAATATCGATATTATTGTATCGTTTTAAAATTTTCAATATCGCCCACCCCTACCAAACAGTGCTACATTTTCCTACCATGCGCATTATTGAAGTTGTAGCACTGGAGTCTGGCGCCACCTTTGATCCGCCCACACACCGTACTACAAAATAATATTATTACTATTATCATTATGTTAGCGTACACCACTTGGTATGGCATGTATACAAGGATATACAGAAGTAGTTAAACTACTACTGGAGTATAAAGCTGATGTCAATGTCACTGATGAAAATGAAGTAAGAGACTTTGAATTATTATTATTATTATTATTATTATTATTATTATTATTATTATTATTATTATCATTATTATTATGAGAGAGAGAAAGAGAGATGTGGGAAAAGGGGGAGAAACCCATAATCACAAAAATGGAAAGGAGAGAAGAAACAAAAAGAAGAATAAAGATGAGAGAGAAAGACATGAGAGAGAGAGAAAAGTTTATTATTATTATTATTATTATTATTATTATTATTATTATTATTATTATTATTATTATGTAGCTTACACCACTTTGTAATGCCAGTATACCAGGACATACAGAAATAGTTAAACTACTACTGGAGCATGGTGTGGCTAATGTTGATCACACTGATAAAGACAATGTAAAGGATATATTTAATATTTATTTATTTGTTTGAGTTCACTTCTATGCTTGTGTCAGTGACACTCAGAAAAAGAGACTTGTGTCCCTACTTTAGCTAGAGACAGCAATTAGTTTGAGTTATTATTGTGTAGGATACACCACTTGGTATGGCTTGTGTAAAAGGAAGTACACAAGTAGTTGAACTACTACTGAAGCATGGAGCTAATGTCAATCATATTAATAAACAAATAGTAAGAGACACAGTAATTAATAAATTTTATTATTATAATAATAATAACTATTATTATTATTATTATTTAGCGTACACCACTTGTTATGGCATGTATAGCAGGACATACAGAAATAGTTGAACTACTGCTGGAGCATGGAGCTGATTTTAATGTGGCTGATGATGACAATGTAGCTAAGGAACATAATTATTAATTTTTTACAATTATTATTTTGTAGGATGCACCACTTGGCATTGCTTGTCATCAAGGACATACAGAAATAGTTGAACTACTACTGAAGCATGGAGCTGATCTCAGTCACACTAATACAAAAGAAGTAAAAACATAGAAGTTGTTATTATCATTAACTTTTGTTAATTTTTGTTTTTTCATTCTTTATTTTTGGTATTTTCCCTTTTATTATTGTTATTGTTATTGGCCTTGCCCACTCTTTGTGCATGTAGGCAAGGAGGAACTACTGTTGCTTGTCTGTCATTTATTCATTCATTCAGTAGGCATATAGGCAAGGGTAGTGCAATTGTCATGTTAGTGTGTGTGTGTGTGTGTGTGTGTTAGCAAAAATAATTTCAATCTTCAATTAATTCTTTTTAACAGTTATTGAGGCAAGGTCATGCACCACAGGTGTCTTGTTATTATTATTATTATTATTATTATTATTATTATTATTATTATTATTATTATTTTATTATTATTATTATTATTATTATTATTATTATTATTTTATTATTATGCAGTGTACACCATTTGCTATGGCTTGTATTGGAGGATCTAAAGAAGCAGTTGAACTACTATTGAAGAAAGGTGGAGTTGATGTCAATGTCACTGATGGTCTTAAAGTAAGAGACATTTTAGTGACATCCTACAGTAATTATTATAGCAATTATTTTGGTAATTTAAAAAGTACAATTAACCAATTGTTATTATTATTGTTATTATTATTATTATTATTATTATTATTATTATTATTATTATTATTATTATTATTATTATTATTATTATTATGTAGAATACACCACTTGGTACTGCCTGTTTAAGAGGATATACACAAGTAGCTGAACTGTTATTGAAGCATGGTGTAGCTAATATCAATCACACTAATATACAAAAAGTAAGAGACATAATAATATTATTACTATTATCATCATGTTAGCGTACACCACTTGGTATGGCATGTATTGAAGGATATACAGAAGTAGTTAAACTACTACTGGAGTATAAAGCTGATGTCAATGTCACTGATGAAAATGAAGTAAGAGACTGAATTATTATTATTATTATTATTATTATTATTATTATTATTATTATTGTTATTGTTATTGTTATTGTTATTGTTATTGTTATTG